TCTCTCACGCTCCCCCGCTCTTTCTCTCCCTGTCCCTCTCACGCCTCGCCTCTGTGTTCGTGCCACCTACCTGCTCAGCCACCTCCCGTACAGACTGGACGCTCGTCCCGTACAGGTGGCTGTTGTACTGCCCGGCCTCGATGAATTTGTGGCTTTGGATGTCCTTCTCCATCTTCTCCCGCGAAGCCACAAAGTGGTAATCCCGGCCGTCCACTTCGTACTCCCGTTTTGGCCGCGTGGTGTCTGCCAAGGGAGGATGCGGGGGGGGGCTCACTCCCTTCCTGCGTAGGGTGGAGCAGCCCTCTTGCCTCCCACCAAATCCATTCCCCCAGATCCGGAGACCGAAACCCCTCCACACACACACACACACACACACACACACACACACACACACACGCCCCACAAGTGGGGAGGGGGAAGAGACCCCCTCTGTGGTGGACTCACGTGGGACGCAAGATCCAAACTTGTCTGGAAATTCAGAAAGTAGGTCATCATTCACCCGGTCCTTGGTGGGCCCCAAAATAATGATCGGACGGGCATAATGAACTAGAACGAAAAGGGGGAGAAGTTTAAAAAGAGAGGAAGGGGCGTCGTGATTGGAAATGGGGGGGGGGGAGAAATGCAAAACTCCAAGTGTCGGGGCTCCAACAAATCCACCCCCATTCAAATCACTAGTCTCTAGCCGCATCTCTCAGAGTTTAAAAAAAAATCGATTTATTAGGAGCGGCCTTGTTGGCGTTATCTGGGTGCAGCCGATACTAAAATCCATCACTCATTTCCCCCTTGACCCTGGTCTTCCCCCCACCTCCCCTGGATGTATATTCTCCGATGGGACACCTCCATAGCCAAGAGTCATCAACCGTGCTCCCCAGTAATAATCTTGTGCGCCAACATCTTCGGCTGCTTAGCAATTATCTGCAGCATTTGAGGAATGTACTTCTTTCCCCCCATTCCCTTTTTCTTAAAAGACCAAGGGAGCATGTTTTTAGTTGGCACCAAGCAGGGACCACGAAACCTCGGGGGGGGGGGAGCAAGCAAGGAAGCCATGAAAAAGGTTTTTATCCCCCCCCCTCACCTTCCATTTGCACAACAGTTTCGTAGCTCAAAACGGTGTCCTCTCGACCTGCGGAGGAAATGTAGGGAGCGCGGTCAAATTTTCTTCCTGGCAGGATGCTCCCCGGGTACCATGATTTGTGCTAGGAGGAGAGGAGGAGGAGGAAGAGGAGGAAGAGGAGAGGAGGAGGAGAAAGAGAAGGAGGAAGAGGAGAGGAGGAGGAAGCGGAGAGGAGGAGGAAGAGAGGTGGAGGGAGAGGAGGAGGAGGAAGGGGAAGAGGAGGAAGGGGAAGAAGAGAAGAGGAGGAGGAGGAGGAAGGGGAAGAGGAGGAGGGAGGAGGAAGAGGAAGAGGAGGAGGAGGAAGAGAGGTGGAGGGAGAGGAGGAGGAAGGGGAAGAGGAGAGGAAGAGGAGGAGAGGAAGAGGAGGAGAGGAAGAGGAAGGGGAAGAGGAGAAGAGGAAGAAGAGGAGGAGGAAGGGGAAGAGGAGGAGGGAGGAGGAAGGGGAAGAGGAGGAAGGGGAAGAGGAGAAGAGGAGGAGGAGGGAGGGGAAGAGGAGGAGGGGGAGAGGAAGAGGAGGAGGGAGGGGAGGAGGAGGAGGAAGAATAGGGACAGTGGAGAGAAACCAACTGCAAGCAGGGAAGGAGACGGGCGGAAGAGGGAGGGGAGGGGCCTCCCAGAGGTGGACAAAGGAGGAGGAGGAAGAAGGGCCTCCGAGAGCCACACCCACCTTGAGAGCCTGATCCAGGGCCCCGATCCTGGAGGAGGAAGGAAGGAAGAGAAAATAAGGAAGAGAAAAGCAGGAGGAGCAGAGAGAAAGAGAGAGGCCTCCATTTCTGTCACGGAGCATTCGTGGGCGCTGGGGTGTGTGTGTGTGGATGTTCCTCCTTTAAAACGGGGGGGGGGGGTTTGTGGGTGGGCAGCTTCTTCCCCAGGACAAAGGACCCCACCTGGAGGAGTCCTCTCGATGGGGGACAACAAAGCCCATCCCTCTGCCCAGCCGGACACACACAGATCCGCCGTATCCTGCTCGGATGCGCTGGCTTCACGGACACTAAACTGCCACACTGAGCCGACTCGTGAGAAAAGGTTGTTGTTTTTTTCCCCAAGCTGCCGAAGAGAGCTTTGCACACACACACACACACACACACATGCACACTAACTCCCATTTGAAGCCTAGATTTGAGGTTAGATGGCGGGGGACCAAAAGGAGAGAAGTGCGCCTGGCCCGGAGCTGGATCCCCCCCCTGACCTCAATACCTCGAACCCTGGTGGGCTTCCACTCCCAGAATTCCCCCAGCCAGCAAGCCAACCAATAGGTGTCACAGGTAGTCCTTGAGTTATGGCCACAATTTGGGAGCAGGAGCCCCACATTGCTTAGTAATCCGTGCGGTCACAGCCTGAGGTTGTTAGCCGAATCACAGATGAGAACTATTTTTGGCTTCCCGCTGGCTCTACTACCAGAGGCCGAGCAAGAAGTTGTAAATCCCAGGAGTTTGCAAGCAGGCAGCGGGTAGAGTTAAGTGGCCAGTGCCCATCGGGGTGTGACTGGCAGGGGAGGTGTGGCAAGGATAGGTGTGGCACGCCAAGGGTGTGTGGGAGGCATAGTGTGGCTGAGGGAGGGTGGTGTGAGGGTGTGAGGACATGGTGAAGTTTGTGAAGGGTGCATGGGCAGTGGAAAAGTGCAGCGAGGCTCAGGGAGGGTGCGCGAGTGTGCAAGGGATGATGAAGCCTGGGGAAGGTGTGCAAGAAGTGAGATAGTGCGAGCGTAGAGGCTCCAGTGGGGAAAACTAACACAAACAACTTGCAACGATTCCTACTGTCTTCCCCAGTGACCTTCTGGGCAGGCCTGCAGGAAAACTCGCCAACGGCAATCCCGTCGTTTTCGGGCCCTGCCACCGGTTGTAAATGCGAGCCAGCTGCCAAGTGCTCGGATGACTTCATAAAATAAGTCCAAAACCGTCACTGAATGACCGGCCGTAACCCAAGAACTACCTGTAATCAAACCAAGTTTGGCCAGATTCCAACGACTTGTCCCAGTAATTCCTATATTCTCTCGCAGTCCTCAACCCTTGACAGACGACCCCCCTCAATTGTGTCGGGATGCTCCTCAAGGCCAGGGATGGGCTCACCTTTGCTTTTAACCTCGTCCACTCCCGTCGCTCGACCCTGCGGAAGGCAGACGGAGAAGGAGCATCAGTCGGGGATCCCAACGCCTTCCTTCTAAGCCCCCCCCGCTCCAAAATCGCCAAAGCCTAGATACCTTCTCCAACAGCTCAAAGATGCTGCCCCGCCATTTAAAAAAACCCACCCCGAAAGGGCACGAAACAACCCCCCTTCTCCGGATCTCATCGTTGAGTATCGAGCACCTTGCAAGATTTCGCACCGATGCTACGGCATCCCCTGAGACGATTTCGCACCTCAATTTATACACAGCGCGCACTGCCAAAATCTTGAAGGGGATTTGCACACCCGTGTGCAAATGCTTAGAATTTGGGGGGGGGGGGGCGTCCGTGCAACCAGGCAAGATCACAGACATGTTCCGAGACTGGGCAGCTTGGCCACGTCCGAACCCATTTTAATGGGTGGGTGCACAGCCAGGGAAGGTGGGATTCATCCGGTTTGAGAGAACCGGTTGTTAAATTTACCTCCGGTTCACCGGCTGGCCGTGCCCACCTCTCCCAGGAGTCTCCACGCACCCTGGTTTGCATGCAGGTAAGTGCAGGATCTGTGCAGAGGTTCTGGGAGGACGAAAAATGGCCGTTCCGTATCCTGGGGGAGGCCATTTTCCAGCTTCCGGATCCCGGGGGAGGCCATTTTCCAGCTTCCGGATCCCGGGGGAGGCCATTTTTGCCCTCCCAGAGGCCTGAGGGAAGCCTCAGGACTCTGGGAAAGGCAAAAAAACACCCCCCTTCCAAAGTTCCGGTAGGCCACGCCCACCATGGCCACGCCCCCCCAGCAATAGAGCAGCGAACCGGGGTTTGCTGGCATTTTTGAATGCCACCCCTGTGTACGGCCTGCCTCTCTCGGGTCTCCTGAACCCCCACTTTTGAAAGCCCCCTCCCCAAAGACCACCCCCACCCCCTTATCCCTCTTACCGCCTCTTGCTGGGAATGAATCCAAGCTCGTCACTGTCGCCGTCTGGATGGACGCGCCGCGCCTGCCACCATTCCTCGTCGGAAGCGTCGATGACGTGAAGGACGTCGCCGAAATGGAAACTCAGAGCTTGGCTCAGGAAGCCGCAGTCCTTGGTCTTGTCGTAGTCGAAGAGAGCCCTGTTTGGTAAGGAGGGGCGGGTAGCAGAGGTGGCATTCAGCCAGTTCGCACCTACTCGGGCGAACCGGTAGCGAGGATTCGGCGCGGGTCGCCAAAACGGTAGCAACATCTGGCTGGCCACGCCCCCCCAACCCGGCCACCCTGTTTCCGCTCACTCGCTTGCCCCGCCCGCCCGATGCTGGCTGCCCCGGCTTAAAGGAGGACGGCTCCCCCGCCCTAGCCGTGCGTTTTCCTGCAGCCTCTTGAAAACACACGACTGTGGGCGGGGCAGCGGTCTGTTAACCTGCGAAACTGCTCCAAGGCTGGATTCTTCGTGGACAGTAGAAGTATCTGCTTCCCCTTGTGAGTAAAGTGCCTGGAGTGAGAGGGAATGGAGGCTGGGGGGGGGGTGGGGGGTCGTGGGGAGGAAATCCAGCCACAGAGAAGTTTGAATGAGCCGCAAACGCGTGTGTTCGTTAACCTGCGAAACTTCCCCAAGGCTGGATTCGTTTCCCCTTGTGAGTAAAGTGGCTGGAGTGAGAGGGAATGGAGGCGGACAGGGGTGTGTGTGTGAGAAAGAAAGAAAGAAAGAGGAAGGGAGAGAAGGGAGAGAAGGAAGGAAGGAAGGAAGGAAGGAAGGAAGGAAGGAAGGAAGGGAGGAAGGAAGGAAGGAAGGAAGGAAGGAAGGAAGGAAGGAAGGAAGGAAGGAAGGAAGGAAGGAAGGAAGGAAGGAAGGAAGGAAAGAAAGAAAGAAAGAAAGAGGAAGGGAGAGAAAGAAAGAAGGAAGGAAAGAAAGAAAGAAGGAAGGAAAGAAAGAACGAAAGAAAGAGGAAGGGAGAGAAAGAAAGAAGGAAGGAAGGAAAGAAAGAAGGAAGGAAGGAAAGAAAGAAAGAACGAAAGAAAGAAAGAAAAAAAGAAAGAAGGAAGGAAGGAAGGAAGGAAAGAAAGAAAGAAAGAAAGAAAGAAAGAAAGAAAGAAAGAAAGAAAGGAGGAAGAG